GCTCTTGCCCTTCAGTTCTGGGAGCCACTTAGTAGCATGTCTTTGCACCTTTTCCAGTTTGTTGATGTGCTTCTTAAGATATGGGCACCACACAACAGCTACATATTCTAGCTTTGGCCTAACAAAAGTCATGAACAATTTCTTTAGTATATCACCATCCATGTATTTAAATGCAATTCTGAAGTTAGAAAGCATAGCATAGGCTCCTTGCACAATATTCTTTATGTGGTCCTCAGGTGATAGTTTTCTATCTAGAACCACTCCTAGATCTCTTTCTTTATCAGAATTCTTTAAAGATTTCTCACATAATATATAGGTTGTGTGGGGTCTATGTTCTCCTATTCCACATTCCATAACATGACATTTATTTACATTAAATTCCATTTGCCAAGTGGTGCTCCATCTACTTATTTTGTCCAGGTCTTTTTGAAGGGCATGACAGTCATCTAAATTTCTTATCCTTCCTATTATCTTAGCATCATCAGCAAACATGTTCATATAATTCTGTATACCAACTGGTAGATCATTTATGTAGACAATAAACATCACTGGTGCAAGAACTGAACCCTGTGGTACTCCACTTGTGACATTTCTCCATTCCGATACATTGCCTCTGATTACTGCCCTCATTTTTCTATCAGTCAGAAAATTTTTCATCCATGATAGAAGCTTACCTGTCACCCCTCCAATATTTTCCAGTTTCCAGAACAACCTCTTATGTGGAACTCTGTCGAAAGCCTTTTTTAGGTCCAGATAGATGCAGTCAACCCAACCATCTCTTTCCTGTAATATCTCTGTGGCTCGATCATAGAAACTGAGTAAATTCGATACACAGGATCTTCCAGAGCGAAAACCATACTGTCTGTCTGATATTATATCATTTCTCTCAAGGTGTTCTACCCATTTAGTTTTGATTAGCTTTTCCAATACTTTCACTATTACTCTTGTCAATGATACAGGTCTATAATTGAGGGGGTCTTCCCTGCTGCCACTTTTGTAGATTGGAACTATGTTAGCCTGTTTCCACACGTCTGCTACGATTCCTGTACACAGGGATGCCTGAAAGATCAGATGAAGTGGAATGCTGAGCTCAGATGCACATTCTCTCAGAACCCATGGTGAAACGCCATCTGGGCCAGCTGCTTTGTTCTTCCCGAGCTCCTTTAACATATTTTCCACTTCATTTCCAGACACCTCTATCGTTGTTCTCTGGAATTCTTATTGTGTCTGGTTCTCTGAAGATTTCATTTTGTACAAACACACTTTGGAACTTTTCATTTAATGTTTCACACATTTCCTTTTCATTTTCCGTGAATCTGTTTCCCATTTTCAACCTCTGGATATTATCCTTTACCTGCAATTTGTTGTTTATGAATTTGTAGAATAGGCCCGGTTCTGTTTTACATTTATCTGCTATCCCTTTTTCAAAATTTCTTTCTGCCTCTCTCCTTACTGCTGTATAGTTGTTTCTCGCATCTTTGTATCGCTGGTATGTTTGGGGGTTTGGCCTCTTCCTATACTGATTCCATTTTTGTGTCTTTTGGTCTCTTGCCCTCTCACAATTTCTGTCGAACCAATCCTGTTTTCTGGCCCTGCATCTCTGTTTTGGTATGAATGTTTGTGTGCCTTCCTCGTATAGTTTTAAAAATTTGGCATACATATCATTTACTTCTCTGCCTAGCAACAATTCTGTCCAATTACACTCATTAAAAAAATTTCGAAGTTCCTCATAGTTGCCTCTCCTTAAATCGAGTTTATCAACTGTTTCAATGTCCCCATTTTCTTCTAGATGATATCTTAAAGCATATTTAATGTCTAACAGGGCGTGATCACTCTTTCCCAAGGGAGGAAGGTACTGGATGTCAAAAATCTCTTCTTCTTTCCTGGTGAATACTAGATCCAGTACTGACTGTATATCTCCTTCCCTCATTCTTGTGGCTTGAAAAGAATGTGTGGTGTGGTGTGGTGAATGTGTGGTGTGGAGAAAAGAATGAAAAGAAAAGGTGTGTGGGTTGTGGTGCTGATTATGTGCTCACCTGGTAGGGCTCTCTTGGTTGTGCTTGCAGAGTTTGAGCTCTGGCTCTTGAGTCCCGCCTATCTGGAAGAACTTGTGGGATAGTACCAGTGGAGTGCAGTGGTGCTATAGGCACAATGGGGGAACACTGTATAACCATCAGAGGTCTGCGGTTGTTACACGACCTACTTGTGAGCATATGCCATATTGCCGGTACGTCCGTGGACTTCCAGGGCACACGAGCCTGTTTTCGACTAGAAGTTCCGGCCCATCCTGGTTGTGAGGGGTATATGGGCCTGCGGGCCGCTCCAAGCAGCTGCCTGGTGGGCCACCCTCTGGCCAGTCTAGCCTAGCCTCGGGCCGGGCTTGGGGTGTAAATGAGCTTCCAGTACCCCATCCAGCAGGTATCGAGCGGGGTTCTCCGCCGTCGGTCGCCTGGTGTGCAGGTTTCTGGGCCTGCTGGGTTCTGTCGTGTCTCCGTTGGCCCTGTCTGGGGTCTGCCTGCTCCGTTCTCTGCCTGCAGAAGAGTTGCTATTTACATGTTGCGGTGGTGCCTGTTGCTGCTGCTGCACGTGTGTGTTGGTACCGTGTTTCGCGGTGGCGTGTCCTTGTTCCTGTGTCCGGTTGTGGTTTGGCACTTTGCGGCTGTTTTGTGCCTAGGGTTTGCGTATGAGGGTTTGCTTGTTGTTTTTCGTGGTCTTTGGGTCCCTGGCTTGGCCCTCTCATGTGCATGGGGTTTTTCTGTCCCTGCCTGATTGTCCACCCCTGGTTGTTTTCCTGGGGTTTTTGTGCATCAGCTCTTTCATCCTGCCTCTCCCCAGTCGTTTTCCTGGCATCTCCTTTGGTCGGTTCCCACCGCTTCATTTCCTTGTGCTTTCCCTTGTTTCCTCCTCTGCCGCAGGGGTGTTCGGCGTGTGTTCCTTGGCTTCTTGGGCGTTTTTTTGGCCTGTGTCCTGTGGTTTGTTTCTTTGTCTCGGTCTGTTGCAGTTGTTTGTACCCCTTGGTTCGGGTACTGTTCTGGCAGCAACCCTCCGCCTTCTTTGGTTTCCTAGCTAGCCCTGCAGGTTGTTTTTTCGGGGTCTTGCGATGTCTCGCGTCGGACCCGTCGTTTTTGAACTCCTGGCGGGCTTGCTTGCTTTGGGGAGTTTTTCTGTTTGGCAGACGTTCCATCTCCTTGTGCCGCCTGGGTTTCGGTAGTTGCGCCCGAGATCTTCTCGCGGCTCCACCTTTTCCTGGGCTCGGAGGGGCCTTGTCGGGGCTGCTTCCGTTCTGCCTCGCTGTCTCGCCTCCGGGTGGTGGTCGGGTGGCTTCGTGGTAGGTGTCCCACCTGCGTACTTCTCTTGGCGGCAGTATGGGGTATTTTGGCAGTCCTTCCTTTTCCTGTCCCTTCTTATGTGGCTACTCTAGTTAGCATCAGCTTGGTTTTCTGGTGGGGGTTGGGGGCTGTCGTCTTGCCGCATACTGTCGCCTCTTTCGTGCGGCGCTGGTGGAGCTGCTTCGGCTTGCTTTCGGTCTTGGTGTTGCTTTTGCACCGTTAGTAAGCTGTCTCATGTGTCGTTTCACCTCCGGCCTGTTCGTGCGCCGCTTGCACCGTCCTGGTCTCTGGTCAACGTGCTCTGTCTTCTCCTCGGTTGGTAGGGCCCCTTCGGTTCCGTTTTGTTTTTTCGTCGGCTCTTTTTTCCTTTTGGCATTTGCCTCTGGGGGTCGGGTCGCTGAGTTTTCTTGCTCCTTCGGTTTTAGCGTTTTGGTTGTTCGGTGGCAGCAGTCTCCATCTTTTCTGGCGCGGGGTGGGGCTGCTGCGTTCTGGAGGGGGTCCATGTTTTGTTGGTGCTTGGTTGGTCGAGCTGGGGGTGTGTCGTGTTTTGTGTTCAGTGGCGGCCCTCCGCTGTTGTTTGCGTGCCATGGCATCTGTGTCCGGGGCGCGTTTTGCGTTGATCCGGTTCTGTTCTTCCTGGTTCACGGGTGATGGTGTCCCGGGTTGTCAGCCATGTTCTTGCGACTCAGTTGCCTGTGTTCTTCCCTCATGCCCGTGGCATTCGTGGCTTCGCTGCTCTCGCTGCCGTCTGAGCAACGTGTCCTTGCGGTCATTCGGGTGTGGATCTTTGGTGTTCGTATGGGGGCCTTGCTGCTCGTTCTCGTGTTGTTCCCGGGACTTTTCGGGGCTGTGGCGCCTTGGGTTGGCGTTTTGCTGCCGGTTGTCTCGCTTCCGTGGGGGGTGTGTGGTGTCCGCCTCCCGGTTCCGTCCCTTTGACCTTCCTCTGTGGGCAGTTAGCTCCGGGGAGCCGACGGGGCTCCCCCCAGAAAACCAGCGTTGAATGTAATGAAACGCTATTTTCTGGGTGAGACCCGGAGGCTCCCCAGCAACCCTCCCTCCCTCCCTCCAGTCGGCGATTTTTGCATGTTTTGACATCCAGCCTCAGAACTGATGGGTGGATAGCCAGTGTGGGAGGTCTGGGGCTTCCCCTTCCCCCTCCCGGGGAGGGGGGAGCTGCGCAGACAGCGGCGCGGTGACGTGTGACGTCATACTAGTTTGCTTGTTTTCTGTTGGGGAGTTCTATCCACTAGTTTGGCCTTAGGTAGCAATTTTAACCAGAATAGGGGTTTGTTTCGGAATGCTTACCTTTCTGGATGCTTGACCCGGTCGATGGCAGACATAGAATGCTTCCAACCACACGGGGGTTTCTATAGGCCATTGCTCCCTTTGCCTCTCTGAGGGGGCCAGGTTCTGGCCGTGGTCCCCGGTAGGCCCTAGAACTCCATACACATGACTGATGCCAAAGTCTGACATTAGCATATCAGCCTGGTAAAGCTCCGGGAAACCTCCGGGTCTCAACCAGAAAATGGCGTTTCATTACATTCAACGCTGGTTTTTTGTCATCTCTCTACTCCACATCTTCACCACATGTAACACTCACATATTCATTCTTTATGTATAGAATCTGTGTTTGTCTGTACAGTATTGTAATTCGTGAAAAATTATTTACAGCTTAATCATATTGGACCGCATTGGTTTGATGCATTCCTGAAGAAGGTTATTCATCATCATCTTGGTTATCTGAGCATCTATAGCAACTTTAGAAGAGGAAGCAAGAGATGGAGTGAGAGAAGCATACAAAGCACCAAATCTAGTACTAGGAGAAATAAGATTAATACCAGCAGTAATACCAACAATAAGAGCAACATTATTATTAACAGTAAACATTACAGCACAAGTAGTGGCACTAGTAGCAATGGAAGCAGCCCTGAAAATGAGGTAAGTAAATGACTCTTCAGAGTCATTTTATTTACTATTTTACTCTCTAATAATTTTTATCTTTTATGTATTTGTACATCCCAGGTTACTTTCTTGCCCAAAATAGAGATGAAAAATGTTTTCTTTCACCTGATGCCTTTCTTCACCAAGCAGTAAATAGATACCCGATTGTAAGGCAACTGTTGTAGGTTGCATTCCTGAAGTTGGTCAGTCATTGGCCAAGGTGGACTTTGATAAACCTAACAGGCTTCCTGTCCCCACTGATGGGAAACCAAATGATATATTGAGGCATTTCATTAGATTCAATGCTTGTTTTCTGAGGGAAGTCTGGTTGGCTTCCTGAAGCTATCAAACTGACATGTGCCATATTAGTTTGATGCCAAGGGTATCATGGATGCGTCTTTCGAGCCCTGTCTCGCCTTGTGCGATGCTGAAGGTTGTTCGTTGCCACTGCCTCGCGGTGACACTCACATGTCCTGCCTCCGTCATGCTGCCTGATGGGTCGGTGACACCTACGACCTTGATTCTTGCAGAATTTGTTCTCTGCTTATTATTCAGTTTACCCATTCCTTATCTGAGGCTGTTAGAGGTCAGGTAGCGGCTTCATTGCATGCTTGGTATTCTTTGTTGCAACGAGCTGGAGTGATTACCTGGTTGGAAGCCCCTGAGCTGCCCTGCTTGGGTTTTAGGGGCTGGCAGGGCAGGCTGTATCTGTCAGATCATTTTAGAGTGGATTTGCATAGGTGAGGTCTCAACGACTTTGTCCTTCAAGTGTGTATTTCGCTTGTTTCAGGTTCTGAAATGGTACTGTGTAGATCTTTGGTTCGTTTTGGACTTGTCCCATCTGCACAGTTTGTTTCCTTGCCCCTCCTTTCGGATGACTACGTTGTCCCAGGTCCAGCTTCTCGAGCTGGGCGCTTGGATGATTTCTCTGGACCTCAAGAACACGTATTGGCATGTTGCTATTCATTTGGAGTTCGGGGATTGGTTAGGTTTTGTGGTTGGGTTTCAGGCTTACGCTTTCATTGCCTTTCATTCGGTCTGAATCTGGCATCTCGTGTATTCACGTGTTTAACCAGTTTTGCAATAACCCATCATTTTCTGCTAGCTATTCGGGTTCTGGCCTACTTCAATGATTCGTTGGCATGGGCTCCCAGCCGGACTGCATGTCTGCTCACCAGAGATGTTGTTCTTTCCCAGCTTGCCGGGTTCGGGTTCCTGGTGAAGACTTGGCTGGGCATCGTGTGGGATTCTTGGACTGCTTCCGTTTCTCTTCCTCCTGCAGCGTTGCTTCGGCTGCAGTCCCATCGTCTGCTGTTTTTGAGAGACATCCAGGTCACTTGGCAGTTGCTCGAGCAGTTGTGCGGGAGACTGAACTTTGCCATGCTGATTTTTCCGCTAGGCAAGGGTTTGGCTTCGGAGGCTGTCTGGTATCTTCGGGGCCGCCTCTTTTGCCACTCTCGCAATCGCTGGGTTCTGCCTCCGGGGCCCTTGCATTGGTTGCTGCACCTACAGTTTCCTCTTCGTGTTTTTCAGGGTTCAGTGCCATGACACCTTCCCCTTTCCTCGCTTGGTGAGGGAAGACACCTCATCTCTCGGCTGTTTTTTTTTTGTCCAGTGCTTACCAGGCCTGCCAGGGGCATTGTGCTCCCTCCGTCCTTCCTTTGGGCTCACAGCATGGTGCAGGAGTTTGCGGCTGTTTGGCAGGAGCTGTGGCGGATTCGGTTGACCTGGCGCTCAGTGATTCAGCTCCATTCAGAATGCTCTCCTGTGGTATATTATCTCAACTGGGCTCTCCTGTGGTATATTATCTCAACTGGGCTCTCCTGTGGTATATTATCTCAACTGGAGGAGAAATGGGGGGGGGAGGGGGGGGGGTCCCTGTGATATGTCGCTCTTTGGGGCTGGTCGCTTCAGGTAGCTCTTCTGCTTAGTTCTCGGAGTTTAGCTCTCCTCGCAGTTCACACTCGGAGGGTGTCCAACATCCTGGCAGATGGCCTGTCTTGCTTCATTCCTCTTTCCACAGAGTTGATGGTTGATACCGCCGCCTTCCTTTGACTTTGTTGAATGTTTGGACGACTGGAGGTGTACATCTTTGCGTCGACTTGGTCCCAGCGCCTCCCAATATACGTGGTTATGCTCTGACTTCGAGGCCTTCACTATAGAATAATTTCTGGTAGGGTTGGTTTAGGTGGAGGTTCCTGTACCTTCATTCCCCGGTCCAGCTGTTGCTTCGGGTTCTGGCTTGGCTCGAATCCTATCGGGGGAGAGTGGTTCTCGTGGCCCAATGGCAGCCGGTCCAGCCATGGTTTCAGGCACCTCTTGCTCTTGCCACACAGTTTTGCTGATGATGCTAATCATCAGATAAACCAAGTGTATAGAGCAACACTTAGCAGTTGGAATTAAACATCAATAAATTGGTAGGTTTACACAACTTACCAATTATGTGGAAAAGGCTTTAACTACTCTGCTCTGCCGCTATTAATATGTGTGTGATTCATTCATGTGTACATAAGATTGTAGTAAGATTGTATTCAGATAAAGGAAGTTGTTGAAAAAATAGTTATGATGAAATTAATGTGGATAAATTTAACGACCGTGCTACACCGAGTTTATTGTGAAATTCCCCCTGTGAGCATGAAATAAAGTGTTCCCAAAAAATTCTATTCTGTGAGGAGCCCCTATGGCTCCCTGGAGCTTATCGGGCTAAGGTATGTTATATTAGACCGGGACATTAGCTAAGGAGTTCAGACCTACCAGGTACCAGTGCCAGAACCTGGCCCCTTCAGAGAGGTTTCAGGGAGCAATGGCCCTGGAAAAACCCCCTTGTGGTTGGGGTTTTCCTTATCTGCCATCGACCGGGGTTAGGCACCCAAAAGAGTAGGCATAACAAAAAAAACACCACATGGTAAAAAACTAAAGCAAAAAACCGAACAGAGAGGTAGAAACTCCCTACAATCCCAAGGAAACAAGCAAACAAGCAAACATCACATTTTACTGCCGCGCCGATCGTCCGCGCAGCCCTCCCCACCTCGAGTGGGAGGGGGGGGAACCCTGGACCAACCGTGCCGGCTGCCTAGCATCAGTTCGTAAGCTAATGTCAACTGGGATAGACGCTTCTCTGGCCTCAGTTTCCTAGGCGGTGTTTCCCTTCGTGGCACTCATTGCTGTGTTTTTGTGTTGTGCCATGGCTGGTGTCCCTCATCAGTACCAGGGCTGCATGCACTTGAGGGCTTCCTAAGTGCATGCATGCAAGTATGCATGCATACTTCCTAACTTCCTTCCCTAAGTGCCCTGTGAGTACTGCCCCTGCATGACAGGGTTATCTTCCTTGGGGCGTTCGGGAACCATTCCCGTAGAGGTTCTTGCTGCTCGGCATTTGCCTCACCCTTGGGGCCAGCTGGGGTTTAGGGCCCTTGTTTGGCCCTTGGTAGATACTGGTATTGTGCTGGTTAGGGCGTCAAGGTGTTGCGCGACCTGCCACATGAGCAACAACCAGTTCCTGTTGCCTTTGGAGACGGTGTACTTTTGCAGGGTTTTTCTTTTGTTTTTATTTTCATTTGCCTGGTGGGGGTCTGCTTAGTGTGGCTATAGTTCCACTAGTAGTGTTTGGTGACCCTCTGCTAGGCCCCCATGCTTGTAAACGTTGCAGGGGTTTTCAGTGTTGTCCTCTACCCCTTGTTATTTTTGGGTGTTTAACCGGGTTAGCAACACCTTGCCCGGGCTTCCCGTAGTTGTTACCCCTACGGGCCCTGGAAACCCCTGTCGGGGCTTGATGGACCATTGAATGTGTCTTCCGGGTCCCAACCCGTCTTGTACGGAATCGTTGGTTGCTGTGCCCTTGTCTCCAGGTGACAGTCGCCACTTTTACCTCCGTCATGTTGCCTGTTGGGTCACTGACACCTTGACCCGGAGTCTTGCGAGATATTTCTTCTGCTTGTTCTCCAGTACTCTCCTGATGTTATTACTGTTCAGAGTACAGGCGGCATCCGTGTTACAAGCTAGGTTAGGTTGCTGCAACACGCTGGGTTGGTTTCCCACTTGGATGCCCCGAGGCCGCCCCTTTTGGTTAGGTGCTGTTCGCCCCTTTCCCTCCCTGTTCCCGGCTCCGGACCGTCTGTGGGTTTTTGGGTCGGGGCGGGGTTTAGTTGGGACAGAGACTCAGGTCGTTTTTGGGGGCTGCCCCGTTCGGGTTGGGGACAGAGGTTTTTCGAGCCTATTCCTCCTGCCAAGGCTTCTGGGTCTTACCAGCGGCCCTTTCTTGCTGCCTTTCCCATGGACTCTTGCTTTTCTTTAAGGGCGGAGGGCTTGGAGGACGGCTCTGCCCCGGGGCCTCTATTGCTGGTTCCCGGGGCTGTGGGGGATGCTTGCTAGCAGTTCTGGGGCGGTTTGCCCCTGCCTGGGTTTTCTGCTTTAGGGCGGAGTTTTTCTCCCATCCAGTCTGCTTGCTTCCCACTTTTGCTGGCATGTTTTCGTATCATTTGCTCAGTCACAGCCCTCTGTTCTGGTGGACATTTTCTTCTGCCGGTTTTCCGGCGTGGCCACCAGGGCGGCGTTGCGGTTTGTTTGCCTGGGTGTGCGAGCGTCTTGGGTGAGTTTTTCACCCTTTTTCAGGGGTTTTTATTCTCCTGTTGTCGTTTCTTTGCTTTTCTGATTTTTCTGCCCGTTTCCTGTTCTTCTGGGAACGATTGAGTGTTGATTTTACACCGGGTTTTCTGTTTTTGTCTGTTTTGTGTCTGGGCCCTAGGGTTTGGGATCAGTGTCCCTCTCTGTTATGCTTGCTCCCACACCTTGTCCCTCGGTTTTCGGTTTGTTTTGACTGTTTCCCTGGGGGTTCTGTCTGGGGGCTGTGCTTTGCCTTTCTGTGTTGTATCTCAGCCGGCAAATGTGGTGATCTGGGCTCCCCCTGGTTCGATTCTGGGTTCCTTTGGGTTCTTTGGTTTCATTCTGGAAGTTTCTTCCTCTTGGGCCCCCTTTGTGGGTTCAGGGGGCTTTGTTGC